AATAAATAAAATCTTTAAAAAAAAAAAAAAAAGAAATGACTTTCTGTGGCCTAGGATTCCTTGTGCTCTTCTGCTTCTCTATCTATCCCTGGTCAGAATGGGCAATGTAAATGAAGTTCATGAGATTCTTCCTCTTCTAAATAACTTTAATGACTTCCTTTTATATATACTTTCATAGACAACTTAAAGATCAGGGCATATAGCTTTTTTTCCACCTATGCTGATACTGCAACTTTTCTCACACATGGAGAATTAGAATTTTAAACAATTCATTTCACTAGATGCAGACTTTAAAAGTACCATCTGCTTCTAGAAAGAGTTTTAAGATTCCTTCTAACTGAGACTGTTTTTGAAAGTTTCCAAATATTTTCCCCTTTGGAGTCTTTCTGAACACTTTTTAACATTATAGGATAAATTAGTTTATAAATAACAGGATTATTCCTCAAAAAGAAAGGTAATAAAATTCAAGAAAATGTAAATAACCAAACTTACAAAGGTGAAAAACAAGAAAAAATATAGCTACAATAAGTACTTAACCATACGTCAAGAACAGAGATGGGTCCATTACATACCATAACAGCTTGTCTTCATATCAATTCTGCATCCTGTGGCTCCATGAGGTAAAAAGTAGTAAACCCAAACTCACACTGCTCAAAAGTATGTATCAGGATGTGAATTTCTATCCATCACTTTTCCCTGCACCAGGCTGCCTTCCTAAGAAATAATATATTCTACATTTTTTTGATGGTCACATATCTGCCTTTATCATGAACAGCAGGTAGGATACTTCCAACAATAGTAAACAAATTAATTTATGGAAGCAGGGATTCAGTGAAACCACCTGGATGGACCCCTTGAGAGCTCATAAGTAGATGCCAACCCAGAACAGCAAGAAGACTCCAAAGCCCAGAAAAAAGCGAGGCCACTAAGGAGATGAGGAGCTCTTTATAGACATCACGAGTGTACTTGGTGGAGGTAACCTCGTAAATGAAGAACCAGGAGGTGAAGAACATGCCAATGGCCAACAGCGCCACAGTCACATGGGGGAAGACAGCCGGGTTCACTGGGCTGGTGTATCTCCTCATGGCCTCTTCTAGCTCCATTTTGTCAGGCACAAGGTTATCCACCTCTCCACCACTGGAATAACACAGGATATATTCTACAATTTATAGCTATAAATTATACTGTCACTAAAACAAAACAACCAGTCAATTTATGAATATCCATTGATTTTCAAGTGTAACACCTTCTCTTCCTCATTGATTCTACAAATAATTTCTTCATGAAAATAAAATGAGAATATGATACTCTATTTCATCAACATTAAAAAGAAAACTGATCACAATCCTCCATATCTTTTTTTAAAATATAGAACGCTTCACAAATTTGCATGTCATCCTTGTACAGGGGCCAAACTAATAATCTTCTCTCTGTTATTCCAATTTTAGTGTATGTGCTATCAAAGCAAGCACCGTGTCTTCTTTGATTTTTTACGAATACGTCATTAAAAATATGAATGTAATGAAAATAACAAACTTAAAATACTCTGCCTTGCAATAAAGGAAGCTCTTTGTTTCTCCCAAAATTTTGATGTCAAATCTAAAATGTTTTGCTTTCCTGCAAAAGCATGCTTTTTCTCAGTTTTCACCTGCTGTGAGAATTATTCCTACATTATAATTAGTTCAGATAAATGAATGGCAAGATTGCTCTTCAGATTTTACTTTTAAAGCTCATTTACATGATGGTCTATGATGACATGGTTATTAACAGTTTTTGGGCAATTAATTAAGGTAGTTGGTAGAGTTGTTAGCACAAAATGAAACTAAGAGGTCGTTTTAGTAAATCCTTCTGCTCAGGAGACATGATAGTAGCCATTAATCCACACTAACTAAATGAATAGTGCTTTTCCTCCTCTCACTCTACTTTCTTTGGTAGGCACTATATTGTTAGCAGATTTTTTAAAAAATTTTTCATGTGTGAAGTTTTGGTATCTTTCAACTACTGTCACATCCTTCTTCCCTTTTCTCTCCAAGCTATGAAGTATTGAATAGGCACTGACTGTTTTCTCTTTCTCAAGGAACTCTTTCTTTCATCTCATTACAGGCTCTATCAGACAGAAGCGTATCACAGTAAAAACTCCAGTGATAGTTCATGAGAATAAAGAAATGCCTTTCTGGTGCTCGGGATTTCTCCACTTCCTTATACATTCTCCTCCTCTTTTCCAGAGACACATCTAGGACTTCCCAATGCCAGTTCTTACTTCCTTCCTGGGTCCCAGCCTGTGGCTGTTAGATGGGACCGAGGCTAACGCTCTGTGTAATACCTGTGAATGGAAGTAACCTACGGACTTTCCGGCTGAGCCAATAAAAGCCTGTGCTCAGTTTTCCACTCTGTCCCTTCCCCTACCTGCCACAACACTCCTGGAAAAGCCATAAGCCTGCTGAGCTGCCATGACATGGACAGTTGTCCCAAAGTGTCACCCAGATTCACAGAGGGCTTTGCCTTAGTGAGAAATAAATTTTGCTGTGTTAAGCCACTAAGATTATTTAACATGGTAGCACAATTTAGTTTATGCACCTTGAAAAGAACTTGAAGCAAGAACCCCTGAGACTGACTGGTGCCTTCTTCGCTTATTTATTCAGGAGCCCCTTGCGCATTTACGTTTCTAATTCTCAACACCGTGCAATGTGCCCTCAAAGATTTTTTGCAATTCAGATAAATGGCAAAACATTTTTTTTCAGCTTTATTGAGGACTGACAACATTGTAAGATATTTGAAGTATACGCTTTAAATTTTAACCAAAATTTATAGATGGCAAATTTAGAATACAGAAAAACATATTATTTTAAAAACAGGCTGTAGTTTTCCTTGGCTGTATCAATAGGGCAGAGGGAATTTCTTTTAAAGAAAGAACACCTTTTATTTGAAAATCAACAGCTTCATGGGCTTTTGTTTGTTTGTTTGTTTTTTAATGAAAGCGATGTTCCCACCCCCAAACCCTCTCACACACATACAAACACACACAGAGACGACATTTGGATAGAAGATGTTTAAATTACTTTATTTACAAAGTAATTAGACTTTTGAATGTCCCTTCAATAGGACCCTGGAATTGGGGAAGCAGGGGTTGGAGGTGGGGAGTTTAGCATGTGAGGTAGACATAAACTGAATGAGAAGACTGCACGAGAAAAGTCTAGGTGGAGAAGGGACGAGGGACATTAGAACGGTTGGTTCATCAGCACACACTCTGGTGAAGTTGTTGTTCTATTCCGTACCAGACCATGACCCCCCCCGGTGGTCCACACATTTTAGGACTCTCTTTGTATTAAAACATTGGATATAACTTTTAAACACTGAAGACCCATTGAATGTTTTCCAAGACTTACATGCTTTTGTTGGTAGTGGACAGTTACTGTTTGTGCCTTGCAGGCTCTGTTTTCCGAAAGATGAGCAAGCTGGAATACCTTCCATGAGTTTCTCGATTGCATATGAATAATAAGCAAAGAGGCACTGAAGACTACAGCCACTCTGAGCCTCTTAACCTTCCCATTCCACCTCTCCAGAGGTTTATGAATGAATAATTTTTAATTAATTACTCAATCAGTGAGCCTTCTAACAATCAGTTCTAACTAATTTTCTTTCCACAAAAAAAAAAAAAAAAAAAAAGAAAGAAAGAAAAGAAAAAGGAAGAAAGCCTGTCACCACTACAGGTAAATAATGCAGTGTCAGGAAATACTAAGGACCAAGAAAGGGGAAAATGGATTTAAACCAGATTTTCTTTCCTCTGGGAAAATGATTATCATGAATGAATTCTCCCTTGCCCTAAGCCTGTGTGTCATATGATTACAGGATCTCAGGCAGGTCAAAACTAGACCGCTAATACTGCATTGCACACCCTCTGTCCCAAATAGGAGTTAACCTCCCACGTATCTCTAATTCTCTTTTTTCCTTAATCTTTAATGGACTTTTTGTCAGAGGCAACACAGGAAAAAAAGGGACAGAAAGAAAGAAAAAAAAAAAACACCTCAGAAAAAACATAGTGTGGTTAGAAATTTTTGTCTTGTGGTGGACATAACTTAAGTGGCATCCAGTATAAGTCAGCCAAATATTTTTGACCTAAACAATTTATAGTATTTCAAGGTCTCTTCCAAGAGAGTTGACGTTTGGACAGGTCCACTGCATCACGGTGATCCCTTGTACTGTCGGTGGACCGCTCAGCATAAACAGCCACTTATTTTAATATTTAAGATACTCTCCAAATATCTTCAATTCACAGCTGACCTGTGATATTTCATAAAATCAAGTACACTTTGAAAATATTTCATATTAGTATTTATTTTCAGCTGCATAATCTTCAAATATCAATAGTAAATAAAAGCAAAAATAATACTTTATAACAGATTAATCTTACAATAAGAATCCTTTCTTTTATAATAAAATTCTTATTTAGATATATAGAAAAAAGTATGCCTTATATAATATGACACTACCTCCTCTCAAACCAGATCAGTTCATAAAATCCCTCTCTTTTTATAGGTATTTCTATTCAAGTATATACATAAACATTTCCTTGCATTTAGTTTACATGAAAATTATTTTAAATCATGAATTATTGACACAATATACTTGTACTTTATGTAAGATGTTTTCACCAGAGAAAAAATATTTATGGTTATAGTATGCAAAAATTGAATTTTTTTTTCAATTCCCAGTCACGTTTTACTCTTCTGAATTTCATCACTTTAATATTTGGCATTTCTGTGGCCTAAAAAGACTAGAATCATTTAAGATTTAATGAAGAGCTATTTACCTCTTAAATCTTCTTCCCTTGAGTAATGAAATAATTACCCTCCCATAATCATGGAAACGTGAAACTTGAATCTCAAATTGAGCTGTTGTGAGAAGGGTTAGTGATGCTGCGTAGGTGATCACCATGGTAACATTTGGAAATGGCACCGATGTCAAGCCAAGAGCGTGGTATTTCTATTCCCACAAGAGCCCGGCCAGGGACTGGAGATGAACTCTTGCGTGGTCTCAGGAAAATGACTGAAAGCTAACATTTGCTGGGTCTCCCACTGGAGTATAAACATCACCATTTCATATCATTCTCAGAGGAAGATGATTTTAAAATACAACAACAACGTATTCTCAATAGTTTTAATTAAAATTGCTTTGTAACGTTATATCATTATGGTGTGTGTGTGTGTGTGTGTGAACTTGCTGTACATTCAAATGAAGCTTAGCCCTAAGGAAGAACATGATGATGCTAGGAAGGGAATTCACTAAAGCTTTATTCACATAATGAAGATAATTAAATAATTAGACATTCTTTAAAATATCAGAGGAAGTTAATTCATTTTTAGCAGCATGGATTAGGAAGGTGATTTTATAAATCCTAAGGAGAATATGATTTACTTGGTATTGAAGAGGACTAATTAGTGTCATTTTGACCCTGGTGTGTGTATGTGTACGTATGTGTTTGTGTGTGTAAAACACATCCTATTTTAATTTCAGGAAATACAGGGAAACACCAAATTGGACTGAACATAGAAAAGACAAGCCAACATAAATTAAAAAGTAATACAAAATATGTATATAAAATTTAGCATCAGGGGGACCTGGGTGGCTCAGTCGGTTAAGCATCCAACTCTCAACTTCAGCTCAGGTCATGCCCTCAGGGTCCTGGGATTAGCCCAGTGTGGGGTTCCACACTCAGTGGGGAGTCTGCTTAAGGATTCTTTCTCTCTCTTTCTCCCTTTGTCCCTTCCCCTGCTCATGCTCTCTCTCTCTCAAGTAAATAAATATATCTAAAAAAAATTTAGCATCATAATTTTCAAGTATATATAGTAACTTAAATTGGGATTACTTATAGTTCTTCCAAGAGAAAGAGCTCATACAATAAGTACATAATTACTATTTGTAATTAGCATACTAGATATTTGTATGCAACTATGTGCTGGTAAAGTACTTCAAAACAGTTTGTTCACCTAAGTAAATAAACATTGCCCTTATAATCTTGCTTATGCTTTAACAATATTAAATAAATATTTTAACAATGTATAATAATTTATACATTTGTAATCTAATAATATATGTAAGTATATAACAATTTACAACAAATACAATAACATATTTACTAGGGCCAGTGAAAAGGTAAACTTCAGCCCATCCCACCAATTCTTTTATTCATATAGACATTCAGTGAATCAACAAATCATTATTAAGCACCTACTATCAAGCACTATGCTAAGTGTTGCAGATGTTAAAAAAAATGAAAATAAGCACAGCTGTCTTGGAGTTTAAGGTCTACCGGTGAAAGCAATAATCAATAAATGTACTCAAATAAGTGTAAAAGTCACGATTGTAGCAAGTTTTTAACCAAAGAAGGGTACATGGTGGTCCATAAACCACTACAGGAGTGAGATATGACCCATGTGAAGAGATCAGAAAAAACTTCCCTAATGAAGTGAAG